CTTCAGAAGTAGTGTGAACACTCAAATCTTGCCCAGATCTGACTCACTATATATTTTAGTGAGTGGAATCAGAAATAGAGATGCAGTTGAAAACATCCCTAGCCTTACTTACACGATCAGCAGCGTTTATTGTGACTATAAAAACAGCCAATCTGGGATAAAAGGTATATTCTAAAACAAGCACTGCCATTGTAAAGGATGACAATTAGATCTAACAAGTTGTAATGCAATTGGAAATAACCCTCAAAGCTCAAATGAAATAGTTAGTGAAGCAGCAGGAAAACACTATGGCTGCAGCCTTCACTACACTCATAAATGCAGTGAATTTGCATTTACTATACCATATTATCTCCAGCCTGGTGGAGTATTATTATTGTTTAATTTAAGCATGTAGTGTGTCAATGGCATTGAATGGAGGGCTAAAAGTAATCCTGACCTCAGCAGTTCTCAGGACTGTTGAGAACAGCAGGATTAAAGCATGTGTGCATTGAGAAAATGCTAATTGGCTAAACTGCTGCACACCACACTCTCCTCTTTACATCCTGCACTGACACTCTGAGCACAACATCAGCCTTTTATCCCTGTCTGAACGAAAGCAAGGTCAGTTTCCTGCAGGGCCATAGTATGTCTCTGGAGACCATTACGTTTTCCTGGAACACAGACAATCCAATAGTGGGTCGCATAACACCAAACAAGGGTTGTTGCTTTGATCATCTGTGTATTCAAAACCAATATTCCTGCAACCCAGAAACCCAGAAATTTCTGTTCAACTCCACAATGGAGGGATGTGTCAAGGTCAGGTGTGTTATTTCCACCAGATGTGAAAGCTGTTTCTAATTTTACTGCTGCGTTATCAGTACACAGTACACAAGAGGTAGGCATTAATCAACCACCATAAATACATCTTTCAGTGTGAGGCATATTTGATTTACATCTAATGTATAGCAAATTATTATGCATCTATTTAATAGCCCAGGGGTGCAATATAAGTAGCACATGGGGCCACAGAGACATCATTCTGTCGGCTTGCCTTCCCCACACTAACAACATTAGGGGAATATGATTACCATACGAAGATGCAAAAAGTCACATATTTGTAAGATGCCAAAAGAATGATGGATGGAGCAGGTTAATTCTTTCAGAAGGTTTAAAAATAAGAATTATTATAATACTGCTTATTATCCCATCTTCTTTCTGGAAATTGATATTAAATTAACCTTGCACTCTGT